CTTTATGTGTATTTTTAAAAAAAATTTTATTTTTTATTTTTTGGCAGAACTGGGGATTGAATTCAGGCCTTTGTGTTTGCCAGGGAAGCGCTTATTCTACTGAGCCATCTCCGTGGCCCTTGAGCTCACTTTATAACCCAGGCTGGTTTCAAACTCACAATGATCCTTCTGCCTCAGCTTCCTGAGTGCTGGGATTACAAGTGAGCCACTATGCCCAGCCTGTTTACTTATTTTTAAAATTTGGAGGGCTGGCCAGATAGCTCAGCCTAAGCATGCACAGGGATGGGGGTTTGATCCCCGGTGAGTTGTGCCAGCCCTACCCCCGCAGCACGCTGAGATGGCAAATGAGACTGGGCGTGGTGGCGTGCGCCTATAATCCCAACGCTTGGGAGGCTGAAAACAGGAGGATCATTACAAGTCTGATCTGAGTAGTGAGGCCCTGTAGATCCAGTACTAAATACATTAAAAAAAAAAAAAAAAAAAATTGGAGACGCCGGGCATGGTGAGGCAAGACGAGTTGTCTCTAAGGCACTAAACTGCCAAGGCTGGGCTGTGACTGGATGATCTTCCTCACTCAGCCTCCTAAAGAGCGGGGTTAGGGGTACGCGCCGAACACTCGGTGGAAGAAGCATTTTCCCAGGCTTGCTGTGGCCCTGGTGCCTGGCGTGGGGCCGGGAAGGCCGCCGCGCATGCTCTGGGGCACAGCGGAGACCTCTGAGCCCTGAGTGCGAATGCTGGCTTCATGCCTGCCCTCTCACCAGGTTCAAACAGGCTGAGCAGTTACTCTGGTCCTCAGTGTGGTTAAGAGGTGCAGTCCTTGAAGTTAAATGAAATAATAATGTCAGAAATAATCTCTTTTTCTTTTCTTTTCTTTTTTTTTTTGCGGAACCGGGGATCGAACTCAGGTCCTTGAACTTGCCAGGGAAGCGCTTATTCCACTGAGCCATCTCCGCGGCCCCCTAGAAATAATTTCTGAAATGGAATTTATTTTTATTTATTCCATGAGGTCCTCACTGCAGGTCAGTGAGGTCATACTGGCTTGTGCCCCCCAAGCCTCGCCTTTTTTTTTTTTTTGCTTTTCTGAGTAAGGGTCTCCCTGTGTGGTGCAGGCTGGCCTTGAACTTACCAGGGATCCTCCTGCCTCAGCTCCCGAGTGCCGAGATGACAGGTCACACTCTCACACTGGGCTTCAAGTGTCATGGAGTGTTAGGGAAAGGTGCTTAGAGGAGCTCCTCAGCCCCCCAGCTGCTTAGACAGTGGGGTCCGGCAGAGCCCACCCCAACTGGCCAGGGGACTCAGGGTAGGTGATGTCCTCCCTCTGAGCCTCAGGGTCCTGGGCTGTGAAGTGGGGGACTGCGAGGGCACAGCAGTTCTGGAGGGCAGATGTGGTGGGCAGTGCCAGCATGACCTCAGCTTCCCTGGCCTGCGGTGTCCCTGGTCCTGGTCCCAGTCGTCTGCAGCTTAGAGATGCCAGGGCCAGGTGCAGGGTAGGGGACGAAGTCTGGGCCTCCACCCAGTCCGGCTGTCTGCATCGACGCCCTGGGCAAATATTTGTTCCCTCAGGAGGTGCCAGCTGCTTCCGGTTCCGGTTCCTCCCCATCCATGAAACCGTAGGCAACATGGCTCCCTGTGCAGGGCTAGGGGTGTGGGGTTCCCCTCTGCCTTCTGCCTCCTCTCCTCCTTCCTCGTCCTCCTCTGGCCTCCCTACTTTCTCCTTCTTCTTCCTTTGCCCCCACCTCTCACCTCCCCTTTCCCTCCACAGCTCAAGTCCTGGGGCTCCAAGGACACCCCTGCCAAGGCCCTGATGAGACAGCGAGGTGCTGGAGATGCCCGGCCCCTTGCCCGCTGCCAGCCCTGGGGTGGCCCCCTGCCCCCGATCCCTGCCCGCCGCCTCCGCTACCTGTCACCAACCCGCAGGAGGTTTGGTGATAGTGGCGCCTCCAAGCTGGCGGAGCTCAGAGGCATCCAGCAGCCAGACTGGGCATCTCGCTCAGGCCGAGGGGGACGACCCTGACGGCAGCCCAGCCAGCGTGGAGCCTCGGAAGTGGGGGAAGTGGGGGAAGTGGGTGAGCCCAGGGCCTGCCCTAGGCTGCCCACAAGCTGGGAAACAGCAAATCCCCACGCTTTGGATCCTGGCACCACGCACGAGGCCTCAGCCAGGCCAGGACTTCTCAGGAGGACGTGGCTGAGTGTCCCCAGGGTGGACACATATGGGGTAACGAGGAAGACCCCTGGGGACGGAAGGGGAAGACCTGGCTCCTACCACGTGCGGGAGCTGTGCGCGCGCTGAGCCCTGGAGCAGGAGAGCCCAAGGACGGGCACTGGGGGTTTCTCCAGGGAGCAGACCTGGGTAATAGGAGTAGAAAGCTCGTGAACTGAGCGCTGTGAGGGGCGCAGAGGGGTGGGGAGAACTGGGTGATGGGGAGCAGAGGGGACGGGTTTGCAGGGGGGGAAGCCCCCTTTCTGCAGAGAATAAACTCCTTTGAGCCAGTCTTGTCTCTCCACTACCGGCCTGGGCCTGACCCCTGCCTCTTCCTTCACGTTGGGGTCCTGACCCCAACCTTCCCCTGGGTGCTGTGCCCCGTGCTGGGCTCTCTGCTGCTCTGTTCCCTCTGGCCAGGACCCAGCCCCATATCCTCCCCCATGTCCCATGCCTCTGAGCCCGCCATGTCCCTGTGGCCCGCCCCACCAGAAAGCATCTAGGACAGGGCTATAGCTGAGCATTTATTGTCAGGGTCATTGGTGGGGAGATTCGGAGTCCTCGCCAGAGCCTGGTCTGGTCTCGGGCTCCGGCTCAGGATCCAGGCCGTGGTCCCCCAGGTCCTTGTCCCAGGAGAAGGCCGGCAACCCCCGCATCTGCTCTCGGTAGACGCGGTTGAAGGCCTCGCTCTGGGCCACCGTGAAGTGGTTTTTCCAGTCTCCGCTGACCCCTGGAAGATTCAGAAAGAGGCCCAGGTGAGGAGCAGCAGGGAACGAGGCCCCCAGAGCACTTTCCCACCTCCCAGCTTTTGCAGGGACAGCAGCCCCTACCCGGCCTGTCCCACTTTACCTTGTGACATAGCACAGCCCCTGTCCCCGAGCCAGGCAGCCTCGGGGGGCTCAGCTGGGGACCTGCATGGTGAGCAGGGTCATGCCTGGAGGTGAGCCCCCGGCTAGGGTGAGGCTCCTCTGGTTTCCCACCTCCTCTTGGGGTGACCACCAGGGGGCCAGCCCTGCCTGTAATCCTGGGGCCCACGTAACCCAGATCCTAGTGTTTGGTGTGTGCGTGCCACGTGAGGTGCATGTGAGGCCTTGGGGGCTCCTTTCGAGGGCTGAGTCCCTCCAAGAGGTTCCAGGAATCTATGAATATACAACTTTTTTCTTTTTTTTTGAGACAGGGTCTCGCTATGTAGTTCAGGCTGGCCTTGAGCTCACTTTGTAGCCCAGGCTGGCCTCGAAGTCACAAGGATCTTCCTGTCTCAGCCTCCTAAGTGCTGGGATCACAGATGTGTGCAGCCATGCCCAGCTTAAAGCACCCAAGTTTCTGCAGTGAGCAGGGGTGGGGCTGGGGGTTCAGGAGCCCCGAGTGCCACAGCTTTAGTTCTGGCTCTCTTGGGGTCACACCAGGCCCGGTGCTATGCTCTCGGTGAAACCTGCTGGGCTCCCGGGATGCTGTTGCCTGCGGAGGCTGAGACGTGGCCTGGGCCCCACCTTTCCGGAGGAAGGCCCCGAGGCGGTGGTCCAGCAGGTTGGGAGGCAGCAGCGTGTAGTTGGACATAGTGTTGGCCTTCATGGCACCGAAGGCGGAGTGTGCCACCACGGAGCCCAGCGCCTCCTCACCCAGCGGCCGGCCCAGGAACTCGCAGATGCGCTGCACAGAGCCACGGAGGTCCTGGGGGAGACGCAAGGGGGCTGAGGCTGGAAGTACCCGGTGCAGGGAGCGTCCAGGGCGGCGGCGGCGTTTGCACCTCACGGGGCCTGGCCTCCCCGTCCTCACCCTCACCCGAGGCCCAGCGGTCATCAGTCCTGTTCCTCTGCTTTTCCTTTGCCACGTCCCTGATGTTCCCACCGCTCCAGGACTGAGGCCTCCTCCGATCCTGTCCAGACTCTTAACCCAGCCTCCTCCCCAGCCTTCCTGCCTCTGGCTCACCCCTTCTCCCAAGCTGGCCCTGTCCCTCCCTGGCTCCCAGCCCCCCTGTGGCTCTCCATTGCCCCATGACAGGTAGGTCCGTCCTTCCTTCCTTCCTTTTTTCTCTATTTTCTCTCTTTTTTCATTTTTTGTGACAGGGCCTCACTTTGAAGTGTAGGCTAGACTTGAACTCATAGACTGGCCTCAAATGTCCAGAGATCCTCCTGCCTCAGCCTTCTGAGGACTGGGATCACAGACATGTGCTCCCATACCCAGCTGGCCTAGCTTTCAATGACAGGCTAACCTGTTTTTAGCCCTTCCCCGGGTCCCAGAATTCCCTGTTCCCTGCATCTTCCTCACTCAGCCTGGCCTTAGCCCCCGAGGAACAGTGCTGGCTACTGAGGATGGACCTCCTCGTGACTGGTGGCTTAGATCCCTTGTACACTGAACGCCTGCCGCACACCAAGCTCTGGTCTGAGTCCCACATGTGCATTTGCGCCCGTTCTGCAATCAGCTTTGCAGAGATGTGCCATGCTTCTCAGGGTGACAAAAGCCTGTAATCCCAGCACTCTGGGAGGCTGAGGCAGGAAGATCGTAAATTCAAGACTAGCCTTGGCATCTTACCAACATTGTTTCAAAAGTTAAAAAACGCTACCGATATCATAGCTCTGTGTAAAGGCTCTGGGCTTAATCTTCAGTACTGAAAAAGAAAGTGGCAGGCCCAGACACAGCAAGGCACTTGTCCAAGGTCACAGAGCACGGACAAGGTCGGACTCGGGGCACTGCAGCCCTCAGCTGCCCTCTCCCTCGCCACCTTCTGTGACTTGCAGCTCAGCCTTTCCAGGTCACTCCTGGTTTCATAACCGCCATCCGTGTCTGTCCCAGAAATGTGACCGTGTGGGCAGCCCGAGAGCCCTGCTAGGCTCGGTGGCCCAGTTTCTGGTCTGGAGAATAAGACTCATGGGAAAGGACAGGAGGAGCAAGGCTGAGCCCTTTCCCACCAAAACAAATTTATCAGGTTGGAAAAGGTAACTGTGGGGCAGGCTGACTGTGTCCGTGTCCTCGGCCACGGTGCCGCCTCCAGGAAGCCTCCCCGATGGCCCCAGTGAGCGCTGTCTCTTGCCCCTGCCTGCCCTCCCCAGGTGTGTGGGCCAGGGCCTGGCTGGGGTCCAGTCTAGTTCCAGCAGGGCAAACATCCACCGTCTCCCCAGCCCCTCCTGATGCCCCGTCCGTGGCCTGCGGTTCAGCAGATCTCATCATCCACTCGCCTTCTGTGCTCAGAGCCCACCCGAGGCACTCCCTGTGTAGCCCAGGCTGGCCTTGAACTTACAGAAATCCTCCTGCCTCAGCCTCCCGAGTGCCCTTCAGATGCTGAAAGTGCTCCCCAGGATTGGCCTTCCTCCTTCCCCTCCAAGTCTACTCTCCTGGGAACACAATGAGGCAAAAGCCACCCAAGGGCCTTTGCCCTGGTTCCCACCTCTCCTCCTCAGTCCCCCACTTTTGCTACCTCCCCTGACCTCTAACTTCCTTCCAGCTGGACTGGCATTTCCTCTGAAGCTCTACCCGCTTGGGATTGTACTAACCTCCGGGCCCGCATCCCACCCTGCCCCATTCCGGCCCAGGGCACCCACCTGCTGGAGCTCCTCATAGGTGAGGAACAGGAAGTTCTCCTTGCCTTGCATCCGGATCCAGCCCTTAATGTGGTCAAACCAGGAGCCGAACTGCACTGTGGATGAGGGGCAGGGTGAGGGCCAGGCATGGGCCACCTGGCCCAGTGGGGTACGGTCAACCCCAACATGCATCCCCAGCTCTGCAGAATCCAGGGTCCCTCCCACCTGTGCCTCCCGCCTCCCAGTACAGGCACCCCATCTATCTGGCCAGTCCATCAGCAGCCTGGTCCCCACTTCAACTTGGATCTAAACCCGAGAGCCCCCTGCCTCAGCCTCCCAGAGCGCTGGGTTCACTGGTGGTCAGCTCCAGGCCCAGCGTCCAGCACTCTCTTCCCACCTTCTTTCCTGGAGGAGGCCTCACCTTTGCCTTTGAGGAAGTCCTGAAGGAACTGGTCGGGTGTGCCGGGGTCCTTCAGCTGCTGGGCAATCTTAGAATAATGGTAGAAGGACACCAGGACATCACGGGGGTTCCGGGCGAGGTAGATCACCTGCGGGGAGGCAGTGGGGAGTGGAAGGGCATCAGATGCAGGCGGGCCCAGACCCCAGGCAGGAAGGGTTGGGGGCAGACTTCTGCAGTGGGGGACGGGGCTGCAGGGCACCAGGGCGGCACCCTCCAGCCCTTTTGCGGTCAGGAAGAGTGCGGGAAAGGGGATGTAGGATTCAGGACAGGGAGATCAAGGTGTGAGGCACTGACTAAGGCAGGGGCAGCCGCCCACCCCGGCCGCCCCCTCTGCACCTTGGCCTTGGAGGCGAAGGCGGCCTTGGGGAAGATGTGTACAGGGAGGTGGGAGCTCAGGAGGCGAGGCCTGGGCTGGTCCAGGAGGCTGAAGGCACTCATGACTGTCTCGCACCAGGGTGCGCGCTCCCAGATGGGTACTGAGTGGATCCAGGAGGGATCCCCGTCCTTCAGGATTAGGCTGAGGATCTCTATCATCCAGGTGGTGCCTGTTGGGAGACATCGGGCAGATGAACCGGGCGGGGAGGGGCGACGGGGCAGGCAGGCAGATTAACAACAGCAGCCTCTGCAGGGCACTCTGCCACTTAATTCTGTTTTGTTTTTGTTTCTTTGTTTGTGGTAGGGACTTGAAATGTGGTCCAGGCTGGCCTTCATGTCATGGCGATTGTCCTGCCTCAGCCTCCCAAATGCTTGCCACTTGTCATTTGTTTATTGCATGTATTGTGTGTATTCTCACAGTACTTGGCTAAGGTAGGGTTGATGAGTCTCATTTTCAGAGTAGGTGACTAAAACCCAAACAACAATGTCTACCAGGACCCTGGGAGGCTGAGGTAGGAGGATCTCAAATTGAGACCAGCCTGGGCAACTGCGTAATAAAATTCTGCCTCAAAAGGAATGAATAAAAAAGGCGGGGGGGGGGGCAGGTGAGATGGCTCAGTGGTCTAAAGCACCTACTTAGAACAAGCTTAGCAAAGCACAGGGACCGCGGTTCAATCCCCCAGCACCACATGCCAGCCAGCCCCGCCCCCTGGTGGGCTGAGCTGGCCACACACAAAAATAAATAAATAAATAAAAGGCTGGGGTGTGACTTAGTGCAAAGGTCCTGGGTTCAGTTCAGCATTTCCCAGTGCTAAAAAACAAAAACAAAAACCTGAGGTGATGTCACTCGTCCAAGGTGGCAGAATTGGGAAGTGGCATGAAACAGCCAAGCCCCCACCCCATCCTCCTGCTGGAATCTGGTAAGGACACATGATAGAGCCTGGTCAAGGAAGTATTTTGGGTGCGTTCTTGTTTTTGCAGCACTAGAAATTGAACCCAGGACCTTTGCACTGTTATCCTGTTTATTTTTATTTTGAGACAAGGTCTCACTAAGTCCCCAGGCAGGGCTCCAATATTGGATCCTCCTGCCTCAGTCCTCCCAAGTGCTGGGAGCACAGGTGTGCGCCCCCAGGCCCCTCCTGTTCTACTAAATTCTAACAGCCGCCCTGTGCCAGGCACCAAAACACAGCCTTCGAGCACCAACCCACAATCCACTGGTGCTGGAAGCTCGAGCAGACAGACCCAGAGAACCTTTCTAATGGCGAGCCGGCTCAGTGTGCAGCTCTCCCGGCAGAGGGCGCTGCAGGGACGTGCAATGAGGCCAGGTTGCCCTCCCTGTCCTCGCGGATGTGAGATTACCAGCTGTCAGCCCTGCAGTGCACACCCAGCGACACTCACCCAACCACCCAGTGCCATGCCCACTCCAGGGGAGCGGGGTGAGGGCAGCAGACCAAGAAGGCCCTCTTCCAAATAAGATGCTGCCTCGGTGAAGCAGGAAGGAGGGGTTGGTTTTAGCCCAAGAGAAAGTGGCTGCTCTTTATACCAGCTCTTCCAGCTCTTCCTGTGTTCTCTCCCCTCGCTCCCCTAGTTGAGACGGGGTTTCCCTATGCAGTTCAGGCTGCCCTTGCACTCACTATATTGTCCAGGCTGGCCTCCGATTCATGGTGATCCTCCTGCCCCAGCCTCCTAAGTGCTGGGATTAGGGGCATGGACCACCACACCCAGATTCCTTCCTTCCTTCCTTCCTTCTTTCCTTCCTCCCTCCCTCCCTCCCTCCCTCCCTCCCTTCCTTTATTTCTTTTACCGAACTGGGGATTGAATGCCAGGGAAGGGCTTATTCCGCTGAGCCATCTCCCTGGCCCCCAGATTTTTTGTTTGTTCAGAAACTCCATACTGTTCCCCATAGTGGCCGCATCATTTTGCATTCCCACACAGAGCACAGAGGCTCCAATTTCACCACATCCTGGCCACACTTGACATTTTCTAAATAATCGCCACTGCTTGGGTGTGAATCATTCTTTATGTGAAGTCTTTCCTGTTCAAATTACTGTGCTGTTTCAGTCTCCTGTCTGGGCCTAACCGATCCACCCTGGAAAGACGGCTCAGCAGAGATCCAAGCATCTTTGGGCCCATATTCTCCTCGGGTTACTAAGTGCCAGGGCGGGTTGAGCATCTTGGCATCAATTTAGAAACTACGCCTCCCAGAATCCTCCGCGGCGGAAGGTCACGTGACAACGCTCTGGCCTATCAGAGGCGAGCAGTGAGTCGGTCTTGTGGGTCATGCTTTAAAAGAGGAGCTATTTGACCCCACTGACAGAATTGTGGAGCTGATGCCCAGGAAGGGGCCTATACCATCTTGGAAGCCAACAAGCTGGAGGGAGCCACCTGTGTGCCTAAATGCCCGCCCACCTGATGCCTTTGTGGCAAAAACAAAAAAACAAAAAACAAAAAAACAAAAAACAGCTTATTTCATGGGGGCACTTGGGTAGAGTACTGTTTTGAGACAAGGTCTCCCTAAATTGCTAAATTGCCCAGGCTGGGCTCAAACTTGTGAGCCCTGTCTCAGGCTCCCAGAGTACTGGGTTTACAGGTGTGCACCACCATGGCTGGCCCTTACAGCATTTTAACCTAGATCTGGACTAACACCAGTGTTGTCACTGTAGAAGAAACTAAGGGGGGCCAGGGAGATGGCTCAGTGGAATAAGTGCTTCCCAGGCAAGCACAAGGGACTGAGTTCAATCCCCGGTTCCACAAAAAAAAAAAAAAAAAAGAAAAAGAAAAAAGAAACTAAGGCAGTGGGGAATGGAAGAAGGAGGGTTTGGAGATGTTCTAGTGGTTTTTCCATGTTTCCTAAAGATTTGAAAATGGAGGAGGAATAAGCAAAGGAGGATGTGTTTCACCACAGAATCCTGCCTACAAATCAGGATCAGAGCCCATCTCATAATCATGGAATCTCAGCTACTCAGGAGGCTGAGGCAGGAGAATCACTTGAACTCAAATTCAAGGTGAGGCTGGGCAACATAGCAGGAGTGTCTCAAAAACAACAATCACAGGCTGGTGAGATGGCTCAGTGGTCTAAAGCACCTACTAAG